TATTACCTTCAGTGATTTTGTACGGCTCGTATATCACCTATCTGGTGTAATCCATTTCCTTCACACGAACTCTTATTGCTTTCCTCGATAATTGCAGGTGGTTAAATTTATATGTGGCTCTAACATTACTTCATCAAGTGATAGTTTATGCTGCTTAGTTTGCACCTTTGCTTTTGTCAGAATGATGTTTTCTGCTGGAGTATGTTAGGTAACTACTGTATCAATGCTAAAAATGCTACATATTTTCATCGGAAACCATTAATGAGACATCTTTCTTGAAACATGAATAGCAAATCATGTCTTCAACGATGTTTCAATTAACGATTTACCAATTGCCAAGAAAACGAATGATTCAAGTTTTTTCACAGCAAAAACAGTGCGGTATGAAAAAGAAATATTTGCACATAAGCAGGATATAATCGTATCTTATCAATAATTAACTCATTAACCCCTGGAGAGTTTTGTCGTTTTCGTCTGAAATACGAGAACGAAATACATTTTGAGGGCTGTTTCTGAATACATCGAAATAAATCGACTTACATAATGATTTCCGATAAACCTAATGCGAAATTGTGTTAGAAACGTCATTTTTTATTGGCTATTTCGGTCGCGTATGAGCAGAAGGGTAAAAGTTGAAGGTTTTTTGTTTTTTTTTTTTTTGCTTAAAAGACCCATCATTTTCGTATCGAGACAACTCTTAATTCGCAATGACCAACTTATCCTACTTTTTGCAAAGGTTCGCCTGTCTGTGTGCAGTTCAGACCGGTCTGCCTTAGATCAAAGACCACAAAGTCTAAAATTTGGACACAAAATAGAATTTCGATCATGGAAGAATTTTGAATGAAAAAAGAATCGGGTCCACAAAATTACGTTTTTCTCTCTGTATTTTGTAGTGCACCTATATTGTCCAGATTATTTGATATCATTGTAGCGCTACATCTGTCTACAGTTCTATAATACCACCCACTTTAGTGTATCATACATGACCTTGATGCTGCAGAGCTCGGAAATAGGCTACTACCTCCTGGTGCCAGGGGAATGAGTTAAGACGAGGGACTTAAAGAAAGTTAAATGTTATAATGTTTCACCTGCGATATATTTTTTAATTTTTTTACCTGAACATGTCACAATTATATTGTCTTTTTTATTCGGACTAGTTCTTATTTTATTTATAGGTATTCCATTCTGGTAGGCAAATAGATAAACAATTTGATGTTTTCTCGAAACATTATCAAAGTTTATCGATTAAAGAAAATTCGTATGTGTATATTGCGCAGAGTTTAACGTTTATCAATCTGTAATGAGAGAGAGACAGAGAGAGGGATATATATATATATATATATATATATATATATATATATATATATATATATATATATATATATATATATATATATATATATATACGGGGGGAGGAATATCAAGTTCATCAACAAAATACGTTAGCTAACTCAGAAGATCATGGGGTGCTACCTTAAAATGGTAATAATTAATCAATTAAATTGTTGAGTATCTTTGATGCATATTTGGACCAAGTTAAATGAGCGAAAATAAGCTTATTTTTGTCCTCGCTGATACATGGGTACTATGGGTGCTATTGGTACTAAGGATACTATGGGTACTATGGGTACTATGGGTACTATTGGTACTATGGGTACTATTGGTACTATTGGTACTATGGGTACTAAGGGTACTATGGGTACTATTGGTACTATGGGTACTATTGGTACTATGGGTACTATTGGTACTATTGGTACTATGGGTACTATGGGTACTATGGGTACTATGGGTACTATTGGTACTATGGGTACTATGGGTACTATTTAGATTCTGAACCAGTTTTCAATACTATTATATATGTTTTGTCTATATTAACGCCACAAGCCTACATCGATTTTGCCTAGATGATTAGAATAAAAATCATTATGTTAATGTATTTATAATTCAAACCTGAAGAATAAATAATTCATGCTATCAACTAATAAATCTCAGGTGCTTCAGTTGCCTTAGTCTATATTTAACTTCTGAAGATGGAATAGAAGCTTTCACCTTTTTGGAATATGAGAATGAATTCCAAATAGGAATATAAGAGTTTAAAAATGAATTTATACTTATTACAAATAAATTAGTTTATGAAACTCGTTCATCTCTATGAAAACTAGATTATTCATAAATCGTGCGACACAAAACAATGCTAGAAAGACCAATTACGATCCTCGTTGCTTCAAGTTGTAGCTTTTTCCATTTTTAAGGTGTCTTCAGATGAATCACTATTCCATACATAATCAGTACATTCTAGAAAAAGGCGGATGTATGTCAAAAATTTCCTTTGTAACATTTTTCGGCTGAATCTTACGTTAAGTATTTTCTAAGAGCTGAAATACTGTATAATTGCTGTAAAGAAAACTGGATTGATATTTAAAACTAAGATCATTTACATGTAGGTAGTTATATATATATATATATATATATATATATATATATATATATATATATATATATATATATATATATATATATATATATATATATATATATATATATATATATATATAGCCTTAAAAGGGATTTAATTTAAACGTTCGTAGAATTCGCATTTATGTTCAGACGCAATAATTTCTGATTGTATAGTTCATATAATTATTGGCTGTATGTGTTAGATATCGTGACATTTATGTACGTAAATTCTGAATTTTTTCTGGGGAAAAAAAAGGAAACGTATCTGCAGACAAACCTTTATCATAGATGACTCAGATTTAGGTCGGTTGTCGGAGCACTGGATTCTTAATCGAAGGGACGTAGGTTTGATACCTGCCTAGGAGAGCATGGATCGGCAACCTCGATGTTTCCTTCGAAAAGGCAGCAAACGTTCCCTGATATTGTCAATTTATATTAAAAGTGCCAATAAACCTAAACAACAGCAACCGAAAACAGTTCGTACATGTCAATGATGCACATTATAGAATATAAGCACAAAAAAAAAAATTATGGACATTTTGCTTGTTATTTTTTATTGCAAGGAAGTGAGAGGAAAGCTACATTTCGCCTTGGCAAATATCATTTATAATGTTTGACTTGAATCAAACATTTACTCCAGACTCCGTCCAACCCGAAATGATGAGCGTTGCTTAATGCAGTTATAAAATATTAGTCTGTCAGTTAATGTCTGGTTGTTATACAATTTCTCACAATTTTTTGGATGCAATTAAAATGCTGGAGGAAATCTGTCAAGTACGCAGATGTCGCTTTTGAGCATTTCTAATCAGGCAGTAATTCTGAGCGAATAGTTTCCGCAATCAGAATAGGAAAATTCAATCGTTATAGAAAATTGTGATGCCTCCTATTATCTTATTATATTAGATTTAACCGTTCTATAATGGCTGACTCATCTGCTAGGAATTCAAATATTTCGTAATAATGAATCCCACGATGGATCATTTTTATATCGTGTAACAGGTAACGAGGTTTTAAATCCATAGTAATAAAGACACTGTATTGAAATTATTTCAAAATGTAAAATACGCAAAGGTGTGTCAATCTCGGTTTTATGCTTTATGATTACGTAATGATTTCTTTATGTTGTGTGTTTATTCGGTTTGAGTGGAGAAAACAGCGTGTTCGAACCCCAATAGACTTAGAACAATGGTACTAGCAGCTGCCTCGCTTGTAACGTATCATTAAGATGATAGTGTTATGACTGGTCAGTCTGGAGTTAGGATAATATGACTGGGTGGGACTTGATGTTACATGTCTGCGAAATGATGCCCCAGTGATAGATATCACAATTAACTGTCACACGGCAGACATTGTAGCGATATGAATGAAAATAAAAAAATTGTTAAAGTTAAGTGACACACACACGCGCGCACACGCACACACATTCTCTTTGCCGACATTCCAAATGTCTTATTCGATATCGCATCAGACACAAAAACAGAACAAAGTTATTTGGACTAAGTTTCGGTATTCAGTATCGTGTTAAACCTTGTTATTTGCTGTTATTGTTATTGTTCTGGGGCTTAACGCCATTTTTCAGCACACGATAGGCTATAGATGGCGGTCAGTATTAATGATGGAGGAAGAAACCGGGAATCCACCGGAAAGATTCACCGACTCACGAGAAGCTATTGGCAAACTTCTCACATATCCACATTCGCCGAATCCTAGACTCGAACCCACGCAGACAGGTGAAATGGCGTGATCTGTAACTGACATAGCTTTAGACCACTCGTCCTCTCATGGTCCCATTGTTATTTACACGAATCTAATATATACGGTGGTGATTTGGGATATATACGATTTGTGAACTTAATTTGCTGTTTCTGCTTGAGGACGAATTCGTATAACAAAGAGGGAATGCAATTTATTTTCTGTGTCTATCAGGTTTGGCATTAGGGCCTAAAGACGATATCATAAATTGCGTTTACATGAATTAGAGAACAGTTCGGTAGAACATTAAAGAGCCAGTTTAGGTCGTCTGAGATAAGGTGTTGATTCATTTGCCTCAGCACAGAGACAATCCGAAGGTGAAGATCTCAATGCTCCCTGACTTGTGCCGTGAATCAGGCATCTGTTGGTAAGGAATTACCAGTTGATCCATAGAAAATCAAACCATTTTGATGCTAATCTCTTACTAATGACATGTAGTACCACAGCAGAGCCTACCGATCAGTTTCTCAATCGGTCTCTGCCACGATTCGTATTAAATCCAGGTATTTAACACTCGTCCCTGACGTATCTAATATATGGAAAGATGTGATGTGATGTGATTATGATTTTTAACGTAGCTTTAACAATATTTCAGTCATATTGCAACGATGTCTGCAGTGTGGCAGTTTATAGTGATGTCTACCACTGGAGCATCATGCCGCTGATATATAGCATCATGTCTCACCCAGTCACATTATCCTGACACCAGGCCAACCAGTCCTAACATTTACCTCTTAATGCTGAGCGCCAAGCGAGGAAGCTGTTAGTTAATTTTTTGTAAGTCTTTCGTATGATTCGACCGGGAAATGAACCCACGACCTCCCGCATCCAAGGCGGACGCTCTAACCACTAGGCTACCGGAGCGGTTTACATGGAAAGAAATTTAGTCTAGGGTCGAAAATATGGTCTAAACATTTTCTATACACCACAAGATAAATATGACAATTTACAAGACAGAGTTTTCAATGTAATCGGGAGAATTTAATTGTAACAACTTTAGATTAAGAAAAGTTGAACCCCATTTCTTGAGCCAATTTCTGAACACTTTCTTATATCGTATGTAATTGGTCTTTAGTGGTATACATACATACATACATACATACATACATACATACATACATACATACATACATACATACATACATACATACATACATACATACATACATACATACATACATACATATATATATATATATATATATATATATATATATATATATATATATATATATATATATATATATATATATATATATATATATATATATATATGCAATAAACTAACGACAAACAGTGCGAAACTAGTAACTCACTAGCCTGAGCGCTTTCGACTCTTAATGAGTCTTTTTCGCTTAATGTCGCTTTGGCTTGTAGACTTTTAGGGAATTATACACCGTTTTCAGCGTCCGCAACAAGTCTATACAAGCTGGTTGTATTTTTAGTTTTAACCCACGTGGAGACAGCCATGTAGAGGTTTACAAACACAACGTTTTTGTGTTTATTTGTTTGTCTTATATATGTTTTGTATTTGCCTTTGAAAAGACTCATTAAGAGTCGAAAGCGCTCAGGCTAGTAAGTTACTAGTTTCGCATTGTTCGTTGTCAGTTTATTGCATCTATTTTAATCAATCCCTGATACACGTGATCCCTTGGTGGATCCAGTGCGCTTGAAAGGGTTGTTATTCGCTATATGATTTGTGTTCTTTATGTATATATATATATATATATATATATATATATATATATATATATATATATATATATATATATATATATATATATATATATATATATATATATATATATATATATATATATATATATATAGGACTAAGGCACTTTATTATGTTGCCGTTCCTGATGTCGTACAGGGTGGCGGACAATATGTTGACACTAACTTTTGCACCCCAATCTAGAGGACAGTTGCAAGATACAATTAGCAGGGTTAAGTAGGCGGTCTCGTAGACCTAAGTTAAATCCACCATGCCGCATTTATTTTAAAGAAAAATAGCAATCATTTTCGAAGTCAAAATAAATATCGTAACTGTATGTTCTTTATTAAAATATAGCACATAAGATCAAAATTATGTATTGTATATTCCTAACACTATCACGTGTTATATTATACTAATATTGGTTGTATTCTCTAAAGATAACTCATTCGTTCGTTTGTTTTCCAATCTCACCATGCACTTGAAGTTTAAAATACAATTATCAAGGTAGGAAACTAAGACGAATATTATACAAAAGGTATTGAACAGTTATATAATGACATAATCAGTACCATGCAGTAACATAATTTCGTGATGCAACCCCGCGGGGTAATTCTGACTTTATTCATTATTTCACCATCGTTACTTTACTTTATGCTTTCTGACAAGTTTAAAATAATGAAACAAAGCTGTTTCAGCGTACTCATTTGAGACAGCAGAAGAAAAAAAAACAACAAATCATCGTTTCTATGACAATAGTTGCACAATGTCACGTGAAGTTCTCAAAATTGTGCCATATTTCGCAGCTGACATTGTAAGCTTTGTAAAGACTTTTGGATTAATGTCAACAACATGTGTATACCAATGTTCTAACAATTATTTCCTGAACATATTTTTGCATCAACTACGTTCTAAAATAAGCACCAGGTAAAATATCAAGGGTTATTGATAACATGGTTCCAAAACAGATTCCTCATTTGAAATGTCTCTGAACACGAGATTGGGAAATTAGTAATGACGTCATTGTAAGAAGAACTTCCATTTTGACATCAAGTATCATACTGTATGTTGTGATAATTATAAAGCATAATATTGTATGGTATTAGCTATTATAAAGTATTATACTATATGCTATAATAATTACGAAGTATCATATTGTGTGGAATTACCAGTTATAAAGTATCATACTGTATAGTAAAACAATTATAAAGTATTATATTGTATGGTATGACAATTACAGAGTATCATATTGTCTGGTATAACAATTAAAAAGTATTATACTGAATGATGTTACAATTAATAAGTATCATACTGTAGGGTGTGACAATTATGAAGTACCATACTGTATTATTAAATGCCTTTTCTACAAACGTGTTCCATTCTTTGGGATATATGTATAGTGTTTCTAGCAATTTTTCAACTTTAAATAATAATAAATATTGTGTATGTTCCCTTTCAAAGCGATGATTCAACCTTTATTCCGTTGGTTTTCAATTTTTAGATTCAGTAATACAAGTAGTAGTTAACATTTTTGTAAATGAGGCGGATTTGCTGCAGTAAGTGATATCATTACCTAACACTTGAATTCCTTTTAAAAAAAAAAAACTATTCTTTAGCTGTTCCTATTACGCAATCTTCCACAAACTTTAACATCTCTTTCACACAACGCATGCTTTTTAGTGACCGGACTTTTTAACATCAGTAAAGTTAAAACTTTTAACCAACTTCATTTGTCATTGATATGGATGGCATATTTATTTCCAAAGGAACATTTATCCAAAAGCTTAAGAAAACATTATGTCGCATTTCTTCCATAACGCGAAGACTGGGGCAAAATTAATGCACAAATGGAACCTGTTATGTTTTAGAATTTATAGGAAGTAACATTTATTGCAAAATAGTTTTAAATAGAACTATTATAAGCCTAATATCGGTCACTGTTAGACAGCAATTCAATAGTTATTAGAAGACTAAATCTTCATTAATGTGATAATTTATTGGACAGATGTCATCAGAGGTCATCTAACTGACCGGTAGTAACGTTATCGAAATGACCACTGAAGGAGAGATTGTATGATATATTATGGATTTCATCCATTTAGCTCATATCTGGTCGAGATCTTACGCTTATTTAAGGCAATAACTGTTTACCATCTGAAGAAAATATAAGATCCGTACTAAATATGATTTCCTCCTTAAAGATATTAAATAAGCCGCGGCTAGTAATATTCGTTGGTACGTTTAGTTGGGGTTTTTATTTATCCGGGCCGGATAACGTTCATTGTACATGCATTTGAAAATATTGTAAAGAATAGGAAAATGGTTTGTCTCAATCTACAGAATTTCAAAGAATTTTATTTTCTCTTTGAAATCATCTTTATGTGCACAGTATTCAATGTACTTATTGGACGCTTTATTCTGAAAAAGGCTAAATTTGGAAAGTAATTCATCATAGAATGCAGACAACTTAATCTAGAATATGTATACTTAAAGTCAAAGCCTTTCTGAGTTCGAATTTTTAGGTGTCATTTAAGACGAGTATGGACTGTTTAAAATATTTGCTACATAATGAGGGGCGCAGCCAAGAATTTTTTGGTATCATGTTCCAATTTGTTTGAGAAAATACATGGACGAATAAATATATAGTTTTTATCTCTAACTACACCTGCCTCTGTCAGAATTAGACTGGTGGTGTTTGGCCATTACTTTTCATTTCAAATTGAATTATGCACAAAGTCTACAGTTTAAAAAGTAATAACAGAGACTAATGAACGTAATTAAACAATATTAAGCCATTAAGCCTGATAGTAATTAAACAATATTTAGTCAATAAACCTGAACATAATTAAATGATATTAAAGTATAGTGAGTTCTTCCTGATATAATTTAAAACAGATCCGGAAATAAATGATTTAACGAAACATTGCAGTTATACAATTTCAGGGTTAGTGCTTTTTCTTTGATTGTAGCTGAAGGCGATGAAATTGTTGATTCTTGCTTGATGGACTTATTATTTCGAAAACTTACATTTTTGAAACTACTTATTGGTAACAGGTAGCCAGTCTTGGTAGATTCACAGGAACAAATAACTCTTTGGTATTTCCGATCATGACAAATATAAAAATAAATAAAAGTATTACATGGCCGTTCTTGGTAGGCGTATGTGTAAAATAATTGTATGGCATTTTTACTTACAACACAAAAGAACACTTTTGGTTTTCGTGTAATTGGGATGATCATTCCGTTAATGGAAAGATTTCAATAGGTCAAATTTAATTCTATATTTGTGCTTCAAATATGAGGCCTACAGATTCGTTTTGTAGATGTCAACCATGTTCGCGCATTGAAATACTCTGTAACTTTAGAAGAACTAGATAGTGTATATATATATATATATATATATATATATATATATATATATATATATATATATATATATATATATATATATATATATATATATTTGCCTTAAAATTTCTATCCACAGCACCAGCAATGATGCATGTCGGAAGCATTTTTTAACATAGCATTTATGAAAAATAATATGTAATGATTCATTTTGAATTAGACAATTATTGATATGGCATAGGCTTCCGCCTGACTGACACTTTTTGCTGATGCATCAAGATGTTATTGGCGTCACGGTCATCATTGTTCTTTTATTTTATATTATTTAATTTTATGTTTGATAATGTAATGAGTCTTATGTTTGTGATACTGATGATGTTGGTGGTGAGGATGATGATGATGATGGTGATAATGACGATGGTTACGATGACGACGGCAAATACGACAACATTACAAGCTCAAGACAGGTAGTCGAAAATATACATTTTTTCTCACACTTGATCTGCGTTTCTTTTAAATTACCAGTCCCATCAGCCGTATCCCATTCATCTTAGAGACTTATCGTGACATATCTATTGGAATCGCATTTGCTGAAGCAAATTCATCTATTTTCTCTAATATACTGATTATGTGCAAATGGCAAATGCTTAATTATATATTCCAATGGGCAGGAATTAATTAAAAGCAATTATAATTAGGCGTGATACAAGTTTTATGACCTGAGTACTTTACAAATTTCATTAGAATCCTGAAATCGGAGCAAATATTTACTTTAATGAAATAAATCATACATGTTAATTGT